GCAAGAAGATCAAACCAACCCATTCCAAAGGAAATCAACCCTGAATATTCATTGAAAGGACTGATGATGATGCTGAAACTAATACTTTGGCCACCTGATACAAAGAGCCAACTCATTGGAAAAGACCCTAATGCTAGGGGAAAGACTGAGGGCAACAAGAGAAGGTGGTGACAGAGGATGAGATGGTTGGGTGGCATCACTGGCTCAATGGACATGAGTTGAGCAAACTCTGGGAAATGATGAAGGACAGGGAAGCCTGGTGTGCTGCAGTCCACAAGGTCACAAAGAGTCGGAGATGACTTAGCAACTGAACAATGAGACGATGGATACAGCATGTAGTAGGTTTTCAATTAACTCTTGCTTGATGATAATATTTTTTGAAATAATATCCTTTGGGAGTCAACAAAATAGAAAAAAAACAAAAAGGATTTTGTATAAAATTTCTCTGCCTCCTTCCACCTTCCCAAACCTGCTAGACAGCGTTGACAGAATGTGCTGTGAAATCAGTGATGAGGAGAGACTCTCATTCCTTTATGTGGTGGGATTAACAAAATAGGTGGTTGAAGGAAGAGGAAACAAGTGTTGGTTATGGGAGAACAAGGTCTGATCTATCCTGACAACCTGGCAATATGAGGCCTTTTGATCTAGACAGAGCCTCAGAAACTCCATGATCTGACCTCAGGTAGCTCCTGAATGCCAAGAATTCATATAAACCATAAGCTCCTTTGTGGGTTCAGCCTCTCAGGATGCCCCTTGCCTGGCTGGTCCCCAGAGATCAGAGGAGACTGTGCATGTGACGATTTCATGTGTTGCCTGCCTGCATCACAAATGTAGCCTTACCACCAGGGCCTGTGATTTATTCCTGACATCTGGTGCAAGTCATCAAAACAAAAGCTGAAAGAGCGCAAGTTGTGCTAAGCCGTCACTCAGACCCTATCTCTGTGTCGGGTTCCCTGCATCCTCGAGTAACCAGGCTCCTTAGAATGTCATCTGAATGTCTTTTTCTCTTTGGCAATGCTCATGGCTGATCTCTTTCTTCTCTTTTTTTTTTTTTTTTAACGCCAAAAGCCTGAACAATAATTTGATTCTTCGGGTTAGGCAGTACTTCACATGGTCATTTCTAAAGTTGAGCTGGTTCATCACCTCTGTAATCGTGAGGCTCAGCATTTCCCTTCCTGAAGCATCTAAACGAACAGGCAGGAGTCTGTCCGCATCCCGGGGCCCCAGCCGCCCTCCTTTCATCCTTCTCTCTCCCACACACGCCCTCTCTCCCGTGCTACTCACCCACCAAGGCAGGTCTGGCCGTGGCAGCCAGAGGTCGACATCAAAGCGCATTCCCAGCCAGCGGCGCTCCTCTCATGCTGGCCTAACGGAGAGGAACAGAGAGAGGGTGTGAGCCAGAGAGAGGGGCCGAGAGCGCGGTGCGGAGAAGCAGCGAGCGCCTCAATGCCCTCTCACACAGAAGGAGTCTGAAGAATAGAACAAAGCCTGCCCTTCTCCCCCCTCTTTGTGACCGGCCTGGGCAACACCGGCCTGTGTGCTGCAGAGAGGGGTCTGAACTGCATCAGCACTCTTTCAGTTTACAAACAAGAGGCCTAATTTAGAAGAAAAATCTCCTATCTGATTATTTCTTTGTGTTCATCCGTGTGGAAAAAATATCTGTTCAGAAAAGGTGGTGGTGGTCGTGCTGGGGGGGGAGGTGGCTTGGGTATTGAAGATGGCTTATTAGCTCTCAGGCTGAATCATGATTGTGAAGGGCAATTGGGAAATCATTATTCATCTTTAATTTCCCGACTGAAAATAATAAATACATGAAGGATGGCTAGTTTTGAGACTCACTGGACGAAAATACTCAGTCGATCTCCTCGTCACTCTCTCTAGCCAGATTCCTCACAAGCAATGCAGCAGATCCCTTTAGTATGTGATCAAATGTCTCCTTTTCTCTTAATGATGTATTATGGCAATATGAGAGGATGTGATTAGGGTCACCCGTGGATAGAACACTCCAGAGAGTTTCTTGATATCTTCTGGGTTAGGCAAACCACCACAGGCGCCAAGCCCCTGGATCCAGACCAGCTACAGTATGAGCCAGGGTAATGTCATCTGGTTTCACAAGTGGTCAGCTCAAAGGGTCGGAAGGGCAAGGATGGAGCTTCATGGAAAGGGTAAAAGATGGCATATTTTATTGCTGAATACTTCCAGAAATCTCCATTGGGAAGGTTTATTGATTTCTCAAAAGTGAAGGAGTGGAAGAAATGTAAGACACAGGGCCCGCATGGTGGGAGTGGGGGGAGTTGTCTTTTCTTAAAATAATATATGAGTCTTTCCTAAATTAGGTGAAGTAGGACTCTGCTATGGAAGAACATTTCTTTAATTTTAGTGATAAAATGTGTTTTTAGGGGGAGATAAGATGAGCCCAGATGTTGGTCTTAGAGTATATTTTGTTGTTGTTCAGTCACCAAGTCGTATCTGACTCTTGGGACCCCATGGACTGTAGCCCACCAGGCTCCTCTGACCGGGGTTTCCCAGGCAAGAGGACTAGAGTGGGTTGCCATTTCCTTCTCCAGGGGATCTTCTCAACCCAGGGATAGAACCTGTGTCTCCTGCATTGGCAGGTGGGTTCTTTTACCTCTGAGGCACCAGGGAAGCTATATATCTGGTCTTTCATTTTAGGCCAAAAATTGTTTTGTGGAAGACAATTTTTCCATGGAAAGGAGGTGGGAGGATGTTTTCAAGATGCTTCAAGTACATTGCATTTTTTGTGCTCTTTATTTCTATTGTTATTAAATTGTGATATATAATGAAATAATTATACAACCCAGCATAATACAGAATCACTGGGAACACAGCTTATTTTCCTGCAACCAGAGCGGCTGTAAATACAGATAAGCTTTGCTCTCTTGCCTGCTGCTCACCACCTGCTGTGAGGCCTGGTTCCTAACAGTACCAGTCCAATGGCCCGGGGACTGGGGAAACACGATTTTATACAGTCCTTTTGAATACTCTTTCCTAAATTCTTAGAAGCATTTCTTGAGTGCTCTGGGATCCTAGAAATGTGATTGAACCCTACACAAAGTCACAGATACAGGAGAACAACAGGGGACGGTAACCATGTAGACTTGTGGCAGCCTCTTTTGTACAGATAAGAATGACAACTGAATAAGGATGCCACTTTTGGAGAGTATCTTCACTGAAGATCTACATGTAGGGTATGGGTATGTGTGTGTGTTCAGTTGCGCCCGACTCTTTGTGGTCCCATGAGCTGTAACCTGCCAGGCTCCTCTGTCCATGGGATTTCCCAGGCAAGAATACAGGAGTGGGTCACCGTTCCCTACTCCCGGGGATCTTCCCAGTCCAGGGATCGAACTCACATCTGCATCGGCAGACAGATTCTTTACCACTAGCGCCACCTGGGAAATAGGGACAAGTGCTAAATGACTGGTCCACAACAATTCAGATCTCTTCTTTCTTGAAGGCAAGAGGAATGCAAAACTATTTCATCTCACATGTGACCACTGATTGATTGATTGTGTTACTCAAAGTGCATAATTCCTTGAGATCCTGGACACTGGAGGGCTATGTTTCATCTCTATTTTGTGTTGTGCTTGATAATAAGTTGTCTTTCTTTTGGAGCATTAATGTAGTGGACACTGTGGGTCTTGTCTTCTTTGAATTTAGCTTTTTTTTTGGGGGGGGGTAAGTCAAGTCATTTATTTGTCTTTTACATGAAAACAAAATTGGGGGAGGGAGAACAAGAGGGAAACTGGCCAGCTGCTCAGATTTTTCTGTAGTCGGAATGGGGCAGCCAGCCGTGAGGCAGGAATTGGGTCCCCGCAGCAACGTGGCAATGGCGACTGGACCTAAAGGGAAAAATCAGTTTCTGCCCTAGTGTTTACAGGAAAGAGAGTTCATCTTGCTTAATACATGTCAGTTACGGGGATGCAGTCCCCTGACAATGTTTTGGGAATAGGTATATGAAACAATTCTGATAAAGAGCGTCTCTTCTCTAAGTCACAATTTATTAAGTTTCATTTGCTTTTATGAGTGATTCAAAAGAAAAAGGTGATCTCTTCTGGTCTTTGTTTAGTGAGAAGATGATGATTAGAGATGGTCTCTTATTCTTAAAGAAATGCACGCTGAGAGAAGCTATCCTTTTCTGCCTCTGGCCATTTTTGTGTGAGAATAAAATGCTTGGACCTTTGAGTTTCTTGTAATCACCAAGGGAGAAGCCCTAGCACAAATGCCAACACTCTGAAGTGCTAGAATGCTAATTTTGTTGAACAATTAGATTTTCTCTAGAAATAATGTGCCCTGGTTTTTTTTCTACAATTCTTCAATTTTCACATGGTGATAAAACACATGACAAGAATGAATTTAATACAGAAACAAGTCGCATGTTTACAACATCTGTGGAGGCTAAATGATATGATGAAATGGTATATAAAAGATAGCTTTACCATAACAGTTTTTAACAATTTAAAATATGTAAGTAGAGTAGGAAATGGCAACCCACTCCAGTATTCTTGCCTGTAAAACTCCATGGACAGCTGAGCCTGGTGGGCTATATAACCCATGGGGTCATCAAGAGTCAGACACAACTGAGCATGCATGCACACATATATAAAATTATTTCCTACTATACAAGGTCTGGGCTTTCCAGGAGATGCTAGTAATAAAGAACCCTCCTGCCAATGCAGGAGATATAAGAGACATAAGAAATCTTCCTGATCCCTGAGTCAGGAAGATCCCCTGGAGGAGGGCATAGCGACTCACTCCAGTATTCTTGCCTGGAGAATCCTATGGACAGAGTCCATAGGGTCACAAAAGAGTCGGACAAGATTGAAGTGACTTAGCACAAACACCTGAAAGGACTATATATACAGAAAATAAGCTCAATATATGAAAAATATAATTATTTAACCAATTTTGACATATGTACACTCATGTAAATGTCGTTTTCAGTGTAAGGTCTTCCACATATAATTGTAATGATACTGTTTGGTAAATTAATATTTCTTTTTATTCATGGCAAACATATTTATAGATATGAATTTTGTGTGTTAACCTGTATCCTGCAACCTTTACAAACTCATTCATTAGGTTTGGCATTCTTTTTTCTAGTTACATTGGATTTCTACATAGACAATTATATGAACCATGAATAAATTTACTTTTGTTGTCTCCTTTCCAAATTTGATTCTTTTTATCTTTTTTTTCCTTGCCTTATTCAATTGGCAAGAGATTCCATACAGTGTTGAATAAAGATTGTGAGAGTAGACATGCTTTTCTTACTTCTGTTCTAAAGGGAAAAACATTTAGTCTTTTACCAGTAAATATGCTTTAACTAAAAGTTTTTATAGATATCCACTATCAGATTCAGGAATCCCCCTTCTGTTTCTAGTTTACTGAAAATTTTGATCAGAAATATTATTTTCTAAATGCCTATTTTCACTTGTATTTAAATTATCATAATATTTTATCCTTTTTGGGATCCCTTAGTGGATCACATTGATTGATCTTTAAATGTAAAAGAAATCTTACTTTCCTAAGAATAAACCCTAATTCATTATGATTTGTTCATTATCATTTGTAAAAACTGTTGGGTTCAATTTGCTAAAACATTACAAGTAATTTTTGTTTCTTGATTCAAGAAGTATATTTTTCTTTTCTTATAACTTACTTTTTATAACAATCTGTCAATAATGTTGGCCTCAAAGTACACATTGGAAAAGTATTATCTCCTCAATTTTATAGAAGAGCTTGTGAAGATCCTTTTCAGAAAAGGAAACGAAAAGATATATAAATTGTAACTATCAAGAATGTGAGAGACAGCATCCTTTCAGATTCTGCAGGTATTACAGAATTAATATGGAAAAGTTATGTACAACATTGTGTCAATAAATTTAACAACCTAGATGGAACGGGCCAATTTCTTGAAAGACACAAACTACTAGAGTTCATTTAAGAAGAAATAGGTACTAAGAATGGCCTTATATTGGTTGAAAAAATTAAATTTATAATTGAAAACTTTCCTGCAATGAAAATTCCAGGTATAGATAGCTTTATGAGTATATAAATATACTCATATACTCAAATATATACTCAAATATACTCAAATAACAAATATAAAAATTTGTTAATATTCACTCATAAAGCCAGTGTACAATTCATATATCTTTTCCTTTCCTTTTCTGAAAAGGATAACTAGAAGTTTGTCAATTTTGAAGATCTCTGTAAGAATCAGGATTGGTTTGTTGATTTTTTTCTATCATTTTGTGTTATCTATGTCATTAATTTCCACTTTGATCTTTATTATTTCTTTTTTCCTACCTTTGTGTTAATTTGTTCTTATTTTTTACTTCTTTT